CAACACCGCTCCACTCAGGCGAGCGTTAAAAGCGTCATTCTATATCAAGTGCATGCAATTTGAATGGCTTGTGCACTTGAGGGGGTCGAGACTGAACAGGTAACAGAATGATAAATCACACGCTGCATTCACCATAAATGGATCATGTCATGGTGAGGTGAAATATGGTTTAACGTCGCGTCAAATATTAGTGCATTCATATAGCGACGTGCATGCACGTATGTTCGTGTGTGTGTGTGTGTGTGTGTGTGTGTGTGTGTGTGTGTGCGCGCGCGCGTGTGTGTGTGTGTGTGTGTGTGTGTGTGTGTGTGTGTGTCTTCTTGAACGAGTCCGGAGTGATGCCGATTTATAGTGTTTGCCCACTGAGATACTATGCCGCAGTTTAACATGAATACCCCACTCGACGACAGTGTACTGACTCCGAGACAACCAGTACTTGTTTTAGCCCCTGAATGCCGAATGACAGACAAGTACCATCTTTTAACGTCTTTAGGTATGAAGCGGTCGGGGATCGAACTCATGACCTTCCGCTCTCCGGGCGGACGGTCATGACTTTATTTTCTATGTCAGATTGGAGAGCACAATGGTGAGAAAGGACGTTACTGTGGTCATCGCATTGTGTATCTTTAACATGTTTAAAGCGGGTTTAACGCCGCTTTTAACAGTATTCCAGTAATATCACGGCGTGTCAGCTTAATGTTGGAGGAAAGCCCGAAGTGATGCAGGTCTCAGACATTTACCACTTCGGTGAAACCCACGAGCACGGGTATGGTGCTGACAAACCTAGAAACATAATCGGGGTGAACCGGGATTCGATCCCACATTCATAGGTTTCTGGCGTGCCCAAGGGACGCAACTCTGAACAGCGAATCGCGGCGCCTTAGACGACTGGGCCACCCGTGCCCCCAGAGTTGCTCGAGGACAAGGCTAATATAGAATACGTGTGCTGAAAATAAAGAGAGTTTAATGTATTATCCCCATCGTTTCTGTTATAAAAGGGGCACGGGTGGCCCAGTCGTCTAAAGCGCCGCAATTCGCTGTGCAGAGTTGCGTCCCTTTGACACGCCAGACACCTATGATTGTGGGTTCGAATCCCGGTTCGCCCCGATTATGTTTCTAGGTTTGTCAGCACCATACCCGTGCTCGTGGGTTTCACCGAAGTGGTAAACGTCTGAGACCTGCATCACTTCGGGCTTTCCTCCCACATTAAGCTGACACGCCGTGATATAACAGGAATACTGTTAAAAGCGGCGTTAAACCCAACTCACTCATTCACTGTTATAAAATTGACAATTATGTCATGGGTATCCATGTTCAAAATGTTATGGATTCCATCATGGCATTTCTTAATGGACGGCCCATTCCGTGTTGCTTTGTGTCAATCTTCACAAAGGACGATTCCTGTTCCAAGTACAGAAACAAGCCTGCATGAAATGTAAGCATTATATAATTGTCAATTTTACCGCAATAAAAATATGCAGAAAGCATTTACAAACACGCAATTTCATATCAAGTTAATAAATCATTAAAATTAAAAAACAACATCGAAGACAAAGAAGTGACAACTAGACTGACCTATGTCTATCCACACATTATGTGTACTGGAAATGTGATCGAAATTACCGTAACCGTCCACTGATTTCCTCCAGCATATAAATACTTGACATGTTCTTCTCCTTATTTGCCGAATCTAACTAAGAGATCAATTCAGACCCGCATGTTCCCCCAAACAATACTGATGCCACGAATTGTAAACCTGCACAAGGATTTGATTGGTTGGGTGGTTTGTTGTTTAACGCTGCCCTAAGCAATATTCCAGCTATATGACGGTGGTCTGTAAATAATCGAGTCTGGACCAGACAATCCAGTAATTAATATCATGAGCATCGATCCACACAATTGGGATCGATGACATGCATCAACCGAGTCAGCGAGCCTGACCACTCGATCCCGTTAGTCGCCTTTTACGACAAGCATAGTCGCCTTTTACGGTAAGCATGGGTTGCTGAAGATCTATTCTACCCCGGATCTTCACGGGTTCCTGCACAAGGATGACACCAAGGAACAGAAGGTCCTTCTCTTCGTGAGATGGTTTGGAAAACTTGTTTTCAAATTGCTGGGACTTTATGGATCCTTGATTGATTGATTGTTTGTTGTTTTACGCCGCACTCAGCAGCATTCCAGCTATATGGCGGCGGTCTGTAAATAATATTAATAACATGAGCATCGATCCACGCAATTGGGATCGATGACATGCATCAACGAAGTCAGCGAGCCTGACCACCCGATCCTGTTAGTCGCCTCTTACGACAAGCATAGTCGCCTTTTACGGCAAGCTTGGGTTGCTGAAGACCTATTCTACCCCGGATCGTCACGGGCCTATAATTTAGAAATATTTATGAGAAACATAAAATATATATAAATTGTCAATACAAAAGAACATCTAGTCTAGAATATCCACTGCAACAAACTCCATGGAGAAAAACAGCTGTGAAAATTATATGAATGGACCACTTAAGATTAGCGATGACACAAGGTGTTCGCGAAAAGGTTAAGCATGTACGGCAGCACCAATTTCACACAAAGTCATAACAAGATAAGCATTTATTGCTTGACGCCGCACAGTAGTATCTCTGTCATGCGACACACGAATGCAAAGAAAACACTCACCATTTTGTCGTGACCTTGCAAGTGTTAAAGTGCAAACCATTTCAATAGTTTTATTTAAAATAGTGCAAACCATTTCAAAACTTATTAAACATTTCATTTATCTAAATACCTAACTGGTTCAATATTTTTTCCAAGTGCACCGAAACTCTATGCCCTTTGTCTGTTGACTATATTCAGCAAACATTCGGCGTATCACTTATTATCATAAGCCCCTCCGGGCAGGACCCTTAATCTCCAGCGCTATCTATAAATTTCAATTAACACCTCCTTACGTCGCCGGAGGTGAGGTGAGGTGAATGTGGGTTTAACGTCGCGTCTCTGATTATTGCACTTATATAGCGACGTGCATGCACGTGTATGTGCGTGTGTGGCTGCTTGTACTAGTCCGGACTGATGCCGATTTATAGTGCTAGCTCAATGAGATACCATGCCGCAGTTTAACATTTATACCCCACTCAGACACAGTATACTGACTCCGAGCCGACCAGTCCTTGTTTTAGCCCCTTAATGCCGAGCGCCAGACAGGGTAACAACAAGTACAATCTTTTAACGTCTTTTTGTATGACGCGGCCCGGGATCGAACCATGGACCTTCCGCTCTCCGGGCGGACGCTCTACCACAAGACCACGGAGGCGGTCTTACGTCGCCGGATCTTACGTATATACATACACGTGGGACAATGACCTTGCCTCTCGTTACGTAATACCTCGCTCTACAAAACCCGACTGACATGGTAAGTCAGGGAGACAGCCAGAAGGTAAGTGACAGAGCGAGTCTCCACCCGGGAACATTGGCCACTCGGTCCCGGTGTGCGTTCTGTCACGTTAATATCAACATGTACCTTCGACCTAGTCCAAACCATCAACAAAAAACATGGCTGCTGTCGTCTTAAACTTCACCCCTGAGTTTTGTCTTCCGTCATCACCCTGAGCTACCATCCGAGGGTCGAAACTACACGCCCTTGGACACAAGTAACACCTTTAATCCTGAGAGAGCACACATGGCTGATCCACACGGTACTCCAAGAAAGGATTACGAGGTGAAGCCATCAATACATGTTTTAAATGGCAGAAAGAATCTTCCGTACTTCACAACTGCACCTAATGTGTTTTCGTAGCTGTCTGTACACATATGGGCCATGTGTGGATAGCTGTCGATTGAATACCGCGTACATTGGCCGTTGCCGCGCTTTAATGCATTACGTCAGCGTGTGTTTGCACAAGATTTCAACCAAATAAAAGCCGCTTGAGCTTGTTCCTACAGAATGATTTCGGTTGGTTGGTTGGTTTGTTGTTTTACGCCGCACTCAACAATATTCCAGCTATATGACGGCGGTCTGTAAATAATCGAGTTTGGACCAGACAATCCAGTGATTAATATCATGAGCATCGATCCACGCAATTGGGATCGATGACATGCATCAACCAAATCAGCGAGCCTGACCACCCGATCCCGTTAGTCGCCTTTTACGACAAGCATAGTCGCCTTTTATGGCAAGCATGGGTTGCTGAAGACCTATTCTACCCCGGATCTTCAGGGGTCTCCTACAGAATGAATGGGATTTTTTCCATGCTACTTTGCGTTTCCTGAGACCATCTTTTGTTGAAGTGTCCAACCCAATATGTAGGGGACTCCACCTCGTTATCCACATCATATATATAATTGTCGAGCCGCTCGTAAGGGCACATAGGCTTTCACACAGGGTACATCGACTTCCACACAGGGTACATCATATTCCGAGGGACCAGTTGACACCACGAATGTATTTTGCGAATTAATTTAATATTGTTAATATTTTTAAAATCTACAATATCGTTATCAATAATGCAAGAGAACTGTTGACCAGACATCATGACATCCAATCGCCCTTGAATTACAATTTGATACTTTCGTTAAGATTACTAAGATCGCATATGATAGGTGTTCAGGTTCGATATAGTATTATCATATTCTAATCGCAATGGTAAGATGGGATCATTTCCCAGTAAGGTACGTACATGAAATCTCTTGAAATTAGCATTGAAATCGCATTTGATAGGTGTTCAGGTACGATATAGTATTATCATATTCTATTCGCAGTGGCAAGATGGGAACATTTCCCAGTAAGGTACATGAAATCTCTTGAAAGTAGTGCGTCTGCAAATTAATGCGACTTAATCCCCAGCCAACGCTGTTGGCATCCAGGACATTAACATATCTGCACATTTGTCAAATCGTTCACTGTTATTGTAGAGGTTTCCCAGCATGGCCTGGCAACATTCGTCTTTCTGGTAGATGCGTTAACGTTCCTTTGTTTTAATTAACATTGTTATAATCGTGTTGAACACTTGTTACATGAAACGCTGAAGCAGAGATAGATTTGCTTTGCTTTATTTGCTTCTGATAGATAGGTATGAACACTACAGAAGAAAATGTTGGCAAAACCAAACCATAATGTTGCAAACTTTTTGTGTGTAACCGTGAAAATTAAGTTGATCTTAGACATGAAAGTGCACCTGGGGAAAGTGTTAATCGTCCAGATTAACTTTATCTAAGATCATCGATACACCATGGACTGCATGTAACAGCTGTCTGTGACTTATTTTTTGCGAAAACCTGGTGTCATCACAGCTTATCAGTCATCCATTAATATGAAACTCCCGAGGGACCAGTTGTGACCACGAATGCATTCCGCGAAATAAATTTAATATTGTTAATATTTTTAGAATCTACAATATCGTTATCAATAATGCAAGCGAACTGTTGACCTGACCTGATCGTGACATCCAGAGTAATCGCCCTTGAATTACAATTTGATACTTTCGTTAAGATTACTAAGATCCCTTATGATAGGTGTTCAGGTTTGATATAGTATTATCATATTCTATTCGCAATGGTAAGATGGGAACATTTCCCAGTAAGGTACATGAAATCTCTTGAAACTAGTGTGTCTGCAAATTAATGCGACTCAACCCCCACCCAACGATCCAGATGGTTTGGATAATCCTTTACCTCGAGTAAGTGAGTGAGTTTGGTTTAACGCCGCTTTTAACAGTATTCCAGTCATATCACGGCGTGTCAGCTTTAGGTGGGAGGAAAGCCCGAAGTGATGCAGGTCTCGGACGTTTACCACTTCGGTGAAACCCACGAGCACGGGTATGGTGCTGACAAACCTAGAAACATAACTTTTCCTCGATGTTGCTGTACCAATCTGTTGACGGTCAACAGCTCTGAAGGACATTTCGGTATTACCCATGCCAATTATTCGCCAAACTTCGAGTCTTGAGGAACATGAATTTAGTGTCCGACGCCAGTTACTAATTGGATAAGCGTCGACTGATAGAGCGATTTTAATAAAGTGGGTGGCTTGTTTCAGTCGCTCCATGCACATGTTGTGTGCGTTAGAACCGGTGCAACTCTGTCCAAGTGTCAAATCTCTCTAGAAGGTTTTAAGTTAAGGCTCAGATCACACCCTGTAGGGTCAGAGCACTCCACCAGGTTCAAATGACTCCCATGACTAAACATTTACTATTTCAAATATCCATGTTTGATTGAATGTTCTGGAATGTCAACACTGCAAGTCCACAGATGAACAACCAGTTTCTACCTTTTCAGGCAAAAAGGTCACATGAACAACTGGAACCTTTAGAACTGTATGGAGAAGTAGAATGCTGCAAAAATGTAGGGGAGTAATTTGAGCCCAACCTTCTGAGGCTACAGTGGTTATTTGGGCGAGGAGAGTGACCTGAGCCTATGCTGAAAGCACCCAAGAGTGAATGTTGAAGGGATTGATTTCAACCTGGGGCGGTCTAGTGCTTAAAGCGTTCGCTCGTCAAACCTAAGATCCGGTTCGATAACCGATATGGGTACAATTTGTGAAGCCCGTTTCTGATGTCCCCCGCCGTGATATTGCTGGAATATTGCTAAATGCGGTGTTAAACCATACTGACTTCCTGATTTCAACCTGCTACACATGCATCAAACATTTACATTCTTAGCTTAGGATAGCTGTTCGTGACATTACCGATATGATTGTGACAATTACTTTTTCAGGTGGCACTTTACTTTTTCCCAGGTGTATATTCTTATCAATTTTTTCAGCTTTAGAATTTCTTTAAGGCAAGGTCAGTTCATGCACTGAGCCTTTTAAAGCAATATGTAGAGCACTTGCACAAGGTTTTGACATTAATGGATATTTCACCTAGTAACAATTGGCACGGTGTCCGTGGAGACTACAAACGTAAAAAGCCCATAACCATCAATGATGCCAAAAGGTAGCATCGTATGATTCATTAAAACTATGAAAACGTCAACAAAGTGTCTTCCTGAAGATATTTCGTGCAATAAGATCGCAACAAAAGCACACAAAAGAACAGATTCAAGAGGATGATAATCAAATATGGACAGTCTCTGGGCTGCTTGTCAGGCACCTTTTGTCTTTAACTGGGAATATAAATGATTGAAATATGGAAAAGTGTCCCCTCTTTTAATTTCATATTGAAGATTCTTAGGTCGTAAACTTTCGACATGTTTTCCAAACAATTGCATAGCAATCATATTCATTGCAGCTTGATCATACCGATGACACTTCCCATACTTGTTAATGGCATGATTACAATAAAGAACCGAGTTATCAGGACACATGCAATTATGATTAACAGCACACGTCGCCCATGGTGCAATTATCGCATCCCTCACAAACTCGTCATTATGAAACATCATAAAATTGGCTTCTACCATGGTAAATGGGGAGTACATGCATGGAGTGGAATTGAAATAGTTCATCATCCTTGTGTCAATAAATTGTGGAGCACGTCCTCCTCCTCCTCCGATGGTCAGCCCCTGCAGGAGGACGTCCTGGACAGATTTCCCAATTCCCTCTTTCGACAGCCTGATAGAAGAGTCCAACCACACCACAATGTCAGCAGCCTTTATATTGGCCTGAAAGTCACCATAGTAATTTCATTAACAAACATGTAAATATATATAAGGAATACATAATAATATCTACAATTGTTTTCTCTTTTCCCAAACACATGGCGCCATCACTGATTATCAGTGTCTATTTATATAATTTTCATCTCTTTCGACATAATCATGATCAAGGCTGACTGTTCTCTGGCTTTGGCGTCTTGAGTTTCTTTTAAGATGAACCGCCATCAAAGTTGACCTTTTTACGAGAAAAGCTGTAACTTAACCCACAGCATGACTTCCGTGAGAAGTTTGAAAACGTTTTATTCATGTAGTCATGAAACCTTTGTGCTGAAATTTCAAACTGAACAATTGAACGCTCATTTGAACGCTTTCAATATAATTTAATAACACACCTGAAATTCTAAATTTCTGAGAGGGGTCGCATTCTTTCTTTAAGGAATATGTTTTGACAGTTGATATACTGATCTTTAGAAAGAGCATCATATTTCGGCGCCATATTTGTACTTTTTATTTGTCTTTCAGCGATCAGGAAAAAATTTTGGCACCTCTTGTTGTATCCAGTAAGACGGTCTCATGGATAACAGGAGAAATCATCCAAATAATCATCCATGCACATTCAAGCAGTACACCAAACACTTCACCTGTATTATCATGGGTTTCCAGATGTAACAGTTAAGCCGCCTCATCCATGGGTCCAACTTTTGCACTGGAAAGATTTTAACATCACATTTGCAATGCTTTTCCAGCTGAAACAGATGCTCAATGTGTCAGGGGTGAGTAGGGTTATCACCACTTTCAGTCATACCAAGACGTTTAAGCTTCAAAGAAAAGGAAAGCCTGAAGCGATGCGTTTACCTCTATGGTGAAAGCCAAGGGCAAGGACACGGGCTGACCTACCAAATATCATATATTTTGCTGAATCTGGGATTCTAACCCACGACTACAGGATTCTAGCACGCCTTATGGACGCAATTTCGAACAGTTTGCATTAAAAATAACGCAGAAAAACAACACGTAACTCTTGTATTTAGTGGAGTGTTCAAAATAAGAATTTAATCGCAGAATAGATGTTCTTTTAATTCGGCTAAATTGACAATAATCGCCAACCACTGAAGTGATGGTGTAAATCCTGCTGGGGTCCATGCAGGTAGCAAAAGTACTGTAAGTCCCCATGGACCCTAGCGTGGTGATCTACCTTCAGTTGTTGGCGATTTATAGTCTGTTTTTATATTGTGTTGCAAAATGATGATATATTTTTACATGCTCTCTAACTAGTTTTATGTAAATCTGTGATATTATAGTTATTATACTGCCCTTCGTCGGCAGAATTTTATACAGTTTAACATATATTGTTAATGTCAAATTTTGTTTCGTCACGATATGGCTGAAATATTGCCGATGTGACGTTAAACTTTAACTCACTCACTAAAAATAAGAAAATACTAATAAATAACAAATGGTCCGACTACTGTCAGAAACAAACATTTTACCATCCTTGATTATCGTATTCACCCACTCGCAAACAGAGCGTCGTTTCCGAATTGACGCCACGATCTGTGTTTCTTACTGACGTTGTACATATTTTCTCCCGCTCGTGAGCTTGCAATCAACAACTTATCAAAATACTTCTTTCGAACGCGACTCACAACCCCGGCCTGAAGAGATTAATCCTTGGTATAAAAAACTGATAGTAATATGAACATTAAGGTGGAAATGATGTGATACTGAAGATTAAGAACAGTAAGTATGAGAAAAGACCTTCAAGGTGTTCCCAGATGTGTTTATGATGGAGACCACAATGAGAAGTTGCTGATTCCGGAAGTAGAAGCAACGAGCCCCGAACGGATTGATTCTAACTCCTAAATCAGCAGCTTTTCAATAGATTCCTGGCTCCAAATCAGCTGCATCGCAACAGCGTAACAAACTCAAAATGGCCCAAGAAAGGACTCAAGGTGAATGAAATACATTTATTTATAAAACTGTTTATTTCTATTGGAAGGCTAATGATGGAATCGTGTCCATCGAACCAGACTCACAACGCATCTGTGATTGTGAATGGGTGTTAAACATGTATCGAGGAATGAAGATATACTAGTCAGGATAGTTATGGTTTACATACCTGAGCGCGTTCTGTTGGCTTAAGTCCCAGATCATAGTACCTAAGTGAATAATTACTAAAGTGTGCTGGGATGATTTCATGAAAGTTTTTCAGCATTGCTTGGGATTCCATAAAGTGGTTCGACGATGCTCCCGTAACGAAGAGAATCCGTTTTCCTGTAGGTTGTACTTGCAATTCCTCCAACTGACTCATTCTTTTCAGTGTTGTCATATCCTCTGCGCGCATCGAGCTGAGAACATTCTGGAGTCTGACTACAGGCCGTTCTGGCAAATCCTGATGACATTCTGGATCAACACATTGAGATGCTAAAAATCAACAAAAGATGCACAAATATAATATTGTAAAAGTTTTATATATGACGTAAACGTGAGATTTAGTTGTGAGGTATCAATTTATATACACCATTTTAACATTTTTTGTATACTAAACAGTGCCGTGAAAAAGAAGGTACACACTTTAAAATTGGATTTGACCATCATGAACAAACAATATCAAATTGTTACTAGGCTGAAAACAGCCACCAAAACACTGCAAACGTTTGGTCCAAACCACAACCTGAACCAACGCCGAACCCTACTTTAAAGAATGCGGCAAATGGGAGCCAACCACATACAGACTGAAAAACACTTCAATCGTGGACTCTGCAACCATCGTTAGACAGTGGTACAACACAGGACAGGGCATGATCAGGGACTTGCACACTTTGCATGCGCGCAACACGTTTGCCACAGCGACATAAACGGTAGCAACAGCGTTTGGTCGGCGCATAATGGGGTGATGGTTATGGGAGGAATTTGTGGCATAAACGTTCGGGACATGGCAACCTCAACAACCAGATCTACAGGGATGACGTTGTTCAACCAGTGGTGTTACCACTCCTTCACCAGCAGCGACTGGTACCACGTTTCCGGCATGACAACGACAGGTCGCGCACTGCAAGGGTCGTGCAGGATTTCTTGACTGCGCACAACCTAAACCCCATTGAAAACTGGTGGGAGCATTTGGCCCGTCCGATCAGGAGGTGTCCTCATCCACCACAGATCCATCAACTGAATGACGAGTGGCAACAGATTCACCAAAGGACTGACATCAATGAAAAGGCGAGTCCGTACGTGCATTGTGCATCTTATTGGCCTTTTGGAATGTATGCTATCTGTCAACCACCCCAAATTAACCATTAAGATGCCTGCTTCACTCGAGACGTCCTGTGTAATAACCTTTTTGTGAAATGGAATTGAAAGCCCGGGAATTAGGGTAATTGTGCATGTTGTTTTTTTTGGTTCGTTCACGTAGATGTTGCAACCGGATTTAGCGATCTTGGGCGGCATTGTTCTGTCGGCTATGATGAATCTATGTGCTGTCTGTGAACCATCGTTGTTGTGGCCTTTGATAGAATAACCAACCAACATAGGCATCGACGTGTGTAGATAGATAACGTCTCAATGCATGTACATTTCAGACCCTTGAAAATCCGGGATAGAATAGTTCTTCAGCAACCCATGCTTATCGTCAGAGGCGACTAACGGGATCGGGTGGTTGGTTCGACGTGGTTGATGCATGTCATCGTATCCTAGCTGGTCGGATCGATGCTCATGATGTCAATCACTGGATTGTGAGGTCCATATGCGATTATTTTACAAACCGCCGTCATATTGCTGGAATATTGCCGAGTGCGGCGTTAAACATCAAAGAAACAAACAACAACAAGCAAGTACATTTATAGGCAGCTGCGTTTTTTTTCTATTAACCATGAACGCTTGTTTACAGTTACGTTGCTGTCCGTTGGCTCTATTCTTCGCATGTCGCTATTAGGAACAACTCATTGTGAAACTGGTATTCACCTTGCGTTCAATTCCATTATCTTTTCTGCCTATTCCTTTTGTCACCTACATGTATGCTACTTTTAAGAGCATTTGTTTATGAACATGTATTTCATTATAAAACAATCAATGTTAAGCCTCACATGGATTCATGTCTTTTTTGCATGTAGGTGTTTCTGGAATAGTCGACCAGAGGTTGGACTTCTGCAACGCTGTAAATATAAAATATCTTTTATGAATATCCTTACAGACAATTTGTGCCGTATCTCAGATATAAACGCCATTGACAAAAGATTAATAGATAAATATGAAAGAAAACCTGTGAAGATCTTTTTGTCTGATGAGGTGGCTGATGCGATCATGTTGTCAGGCTCGCTGATTTGGTTGATGCATGTCATTGTTTCTTAACTGTGTAGATCGATGCTCATGGGATTGGTCACTGGATTGTCCGGTCCGGGATCGATTATTTACAGATCGGAGTCAAAAAGCTAGAATATTGCTGAATGCAGCGATAAGCAGTCAGCTCTTCCCAGTGCTTACTGTCCTCCTCCACAAATAATTACAAGAACTCATATCAGTTCAAGAGTTCATCAAGAGAGAGTAGTCCAAGGTTGAAGTTCGACTTGGCTAGAAGCATTGACATCAACGGGCTATATGGACTATATGGACCTTATGTCTATTCTTCTTGGTGATTGATTCATGATGTTTAAGACTAAACGTTTTTTATGAAATAGATCGATTGCATTAAGTTAGTGAGTGAGTTGGTGTTGACGCCGCTTCTAGCAATATTCCAGTTATATCACGGCGTGTTAACAAACACGTTAATCGTGATCGTGTTCTGGAGTGGACCTTGTATATAATCCATACTTTTCATCTCCCGAGCAAGCACGCATTCACACATACATCATCATCATCATCATCATTATCATCATTATCATCATTATCATCATATATTTCTAAAAAAGAAACAGAAAGAAAAGAGAAAGTTTCTTAACATGATAATAATTTATATTTAACAAGATGCCGGTTATACTGTACAAATATTTGGCGATAAACATTTTGCTTGAAGATTTGTATGAACATTTAAACAGAAAGACGTACATAAACAAACACACTTACACTCAATGGTACTTACATGTATCTATTATACATATGAATTTTGCAAGGTTCTTAATTTCTGTTACATTTCTGGAAAATATATATTTTTTGTATATTATTATATTCGGATATTGCACATATTTATTTGAGATAAGTTTAGATCTAGATTCACGGAACGCTTCACATTTAGACAGGTAGTGGAATTCATCGGCTACAGCTGGCGACATACACAGTTTACATGTCCAAAATTCTCTTTCTATACCAAGCCAACGGCCAACTTTGACAGGTTGATTATGGTTACAGGTTCTATGTTTTAGAGTAGGATAATAAATTTGTTTAGGTAGAAGAAAGTTTTCAAATGACGGGATATCTTTTAAAGATTTATAATAATACACTTTTGAACTTCTCTCGACGTCAGATATCCAGTTTTGATAAAACTGATCTTTTCAAGTTGTTTTTTTCTATCTGAGCAGTTAGCCACGGGCTGGAAACGACATAAGATCACACTTAATAAGGATTTGCCTCACATTTCTTATCCAGTCATTTTGTTCATTGGTAGATATGAATTGCAAATGAGCAAACTTATAAATAATTTGTGATTGTTTCGGTGCAGGTCCGGGTTTACACAGTTTATACCAAACGTCAACCACCCGTTCAGCTGCATAAATCGACAAAGGTATTCTACCTATTTCTCCATAAACCATAAAATTTGGGGTCGCATTTCTAAGACCACATGCAAGTTAAAGGAATGTCTGTAAATAATCGAGTCTGGACCTCACAATCCAGTGATTGACGTGAGAATCGATCCACGCAGTTGGGAAACGCTGACATGCAGCAAACAAGAGTGCGAGCCTGACCACCCGATCCCGTTGGTCGCCTCTCACAACAAGCATAGTCGCCTTTTACGACAAGCATGGGTTGCTAAAGACCTATTCTACCCCGGATCTTCACGGGTCCTCATCTACTGGATATCCCAGCCCACATTAGGATGCTTCCCCTATAATATATGCTAGTCCGCATTGTGGTACCTCCTCTGTTTCCGGATATGCCAGTACACACTGTGATACATCCCTCCAACTGTATAGGGCAATCCAACCAACGAAGCTTTCTCTCCTGCTGGAAATGCCTCGACCTGAAGCTCTCAGGGGGTCACGGGTGTCTCACTCGTCTAAGGCGCCGCAATTCGCTGTGCAGAGTTGTGTCCCTTGGGCACGCCAGAAACCTATGATTGTGGGGTCGAATCCGAATTGCGTTGGTTCCTTACCAAAATTAAATTCACGAAACCCTTTCCATAATACCAACTTATCGGGGGGTCACGGGTGGCCCAGTCGTCTAAGGCGCCGCTTTTCGCTGGGCACGCCCAGAAACCTATGATTGTGGGTTCGAATCCCGGTTAGCCCAGATTGTTTCTAGGTTTGTCAGCACCATACCCGTGCTCGTGGGTTTCACCGAAGCGGTAGACGTCTGAGACCTGCATCACTTCGGGCTTTCCTCCAACATTAAGCTGACACGCCGTGATATAACTGGAATACTGTTAAAAGTGGCGTTAAACCCAACTCACTCACTCACTTTGATGCTCTCTTCCCAGTTGAATGAACAAGCGAGTATGTTTGTAATCCATAATACAAGGCCCGAACAGTGATAGTTATTTTAACAATTTAGTATGGTAAAGGTACGGAGAGAAGACGGTACGGTAATACCTGTATGCGAGTTTTTTGTCATTTTATCTTTGTCTATAACAAATTATTATTTTGATAAATATTTCAACCCATCCAACAACAGAAGTACTGAAATTGAAATCGTAACAAATCTAGCGTACACGTATGTTCACAATACACGTGTTACAGACGTACCTTCAAGTTTCTTCTGATAGAGATTCAACAGTTTTCTAAAGGATTCGTCGACTTTTTTACCTGAAAAAAGAGAAATTTCAAATATATTTCCTCAACTTCAAAAAACCCTTATTGATCTAATTTCTCATATACGAGAATTATGAAGACGGAGTTGCGTCCCTGAACCGTGTAGGGATCCCATGTTCCCATGGTGAATAATGAATAACATTCAAGTGAAAAAAGCAATCAGAAATGTTGAATGAATAAAATTGAATATTACCAGGAAATTCTGTCATGTTGTCTGTATACGACATAGAGTTTTGCGTTGTTTGGTGTCTGTGCCAGCACATCACCAGCAAGAGAATGACGACAGGCGCGAACAGGCACACATATATCTTTTTGTAACCTGAAGAGGAAGCACCATATATGGCATTATCCTCTGACTTCGCTAAGACACAAAGACAGTACATTAGGCGACATATTTATCTCTTGGTTTATGGATGCGCCTCTTTCAAAGTCCAAATGAACTCTTGGCTCTATGCATCCACGAATTTCCATATTTTCAATATAGATCGCGATTTCATGCTTGAAACGTTCAGAATAACATGATTTAACCCAAATCTTTCGTCAGAGTCTGAAAATTATCATATACGAGGACAGTACCGTTTCTGTAATTGATTGGCTGCCTTGGGTCACGTGCTTAAATTTGACCAATCACGAACCTTGTAGCATATTATGTGGGTGAAACAATATAAGTTTTGTTAATGTACACTGACATGTATGTACACTTCGACGTGTGTGTTATTCATACAAAGCTTCGAGAACGGAGGTATTGGCTCATGTTAGTGAGCGGACAGCCACTATCATCGGGAAATGGGTGATGCCAATATTATTTGTAATTCTTTTTAAATGATGTTCCGACTACGTAAACAAATGAAAATAAAAAAGGTAGGTGGATTTTATGAAATCTTATATTTGCCGAAAATTGTTTAATGTTCACTTCATTGGTCCTTAATCTGGATGGTATGTGATTCATAAACACAGTCTCGTCATGAGTTCGGAATCGTACAATGTCGCTTTAATTTATGGCACGTACTTGATCGGCGCGTATTTCCCATTAACAAATACAATGATAACGGTAATAATTTTAGTCAAAATAATTAGGAAAGCGCAAGGCTCAGGAACGTCTGAGTATAGGAAAAGGATTAATTTTATACTTTCGAAAGTTATATACTCGTCAAATACGCAAAAGAATATCAACCGGCTTTTAAAACTTATTTTTTTAGAAGGTGCTCATTGTGTTTATTGCCAGATAGTTTATGCATATACATTTTCCCGATATTGCTTATTTTAAAGTTTATTAATAGTTTTAAGGTTCGTCCGCCTAATTGACGGGATTCCACTTTCTCATTTGTACATGACACTTAAACAGTGTTCTGTTACTGTAAACAGATTAGTTTCAAATTCCAAACTGGTGATATCTATTCAGACTAATGCTTAGTCTCTAAAACTGTATAGTTTTGAAAGAAACAAGAAACTCCATTTAAATTGAACAGGAGCCCCAGTTATATGGGAGATTCCGAGATGAACCTACTCTATGGATATCTAAGCTGCCACCCAAACCGACCCAAACGGGACCCGAAAGCTTATTCTATGCTATATGGTCACATGGAAGTGCACCAGAATTATACATTGTATTCCGGACGATTGTGTTCTTTCATCTACTTTTAAATGTTGCCTATACACTTATAATCTGGACGTACTACTCATTGTTCTATTTATGTCATCCTATTATATATATATATTTATATCAGATATACATTAACGCATGTTACCATTCTAAAGTCATACTCTCATATAACCTTACATTGTTCATAGTATCAAAGTTTATTCAACAACATCAAGATCAGCAATTTAAACTACTGAAACACCCAAACACAAGGCTGTTATCAAGCGCTGGTGCAGACGTGATGCATCGTAAAAAACTGTATCGTGATGTCATCAGAAATACAATTTCTTGCAACATTTATACTACGAGATAGTAAGGCTAACGCTTACTCACCGGTGGAACGTAGACAATATCGCTAATACAGATATCACGTATTTGAATGTTAATACTAAAGACAACACTCATTATTTTTGCAGTGACGATATAACACTTATACACGTTTATTGGTGACTTTCATCAGTTTTGCTATTAATTTTAATAACTTTGTTTTCACATATACAAGTAGCAATACCCGACTAGCCTGTCATACATACTTATGGGGCAGTTTTCAACCTTGTACTGACTTACTCTGGTGTTCCCGAGGGGAGGTTTTTGGCTTGGGTGTTATACCCCGTTTTTCTGGTAATCCTATTATTACTTCATTTTTATCTAATGACACCCTGTTCTCTGGATCACGGCTCCGTGACTATCCATAACAATTAAGATGAACATTCAGATCAAGTACATGAATGAGTTTGTTTTGACGCCACAGTCAATCAAAGACCAATGCTGTGCGGTTTGATTATACACTTCTACCAGGTCGAACATCGTGGATCTTTTTCTACCTAAAGAGAATCATAGTTCATATGCTAATCCATCTATTGCCTACGAAAACCGTCCCGCTCAAGATGACCTTACTCGTTGTTAAATCCATTCAAATGCGCTGAAATGTGCGTGTCAAGGACAGCTGATGTCCGATGCTGAAGAACCGCGTTCACAGCTGACCGACTTGGTATTTTTCTGCTCTGACAGAAACTGGATATACTGACCCACAGCTGTTATAGATATTTAACTAACCCCTGATCAAATAGATGCCCTTCGTTAATCTCTGTGTGGAGTACCGTATATACCTGTGATAACGATACCTGTGGCGATGCTGATGGTGGTGGTGATGATAATGATGGTGACGGCGATGATGATGGTGATGATGATGATGGTGATGGTGATGATATGCTGATATCCTTGCATTTTACAGTGGTGATAAATATTATCTGTGATTGCAAACTTTAACATTTGAAAAATGAAAACACATTAGGTTGATCATAATTATGATCAAGGCCGCTGGCGTTGCCTAGTGGTAAAAGCGTTCGCTCCTCGTGCCGAAAGTCCAGGTTCGATTCTCTGCATATCATAGGCACAATGTGGGAATCCCCCGCCGTGATATTGATGTAATATTGCTAAGGCGGCGTAAAATCCAACTCACTTAAACTCTCATAAATCACTGTGCCATTGCTAACAAGGTTCTGCAGATGGCACCGGAGTATGTCAAGATTCAACTCTCGGTTGTTCTTCTTCCATTATATCTCACTAGGTGGCGCTACTGGCTTCGCTAGGTCGTTCATTCATCCACAGGGCTGTGTACATGAATGGCGGCACTTTCTTAAAGCGGTTGTCAAGTAGGAGTTTATGTCCTGGGAAGTTCACCTCAACCGATTCCAGCAGTCCTGCTTTTATCTGATCCATTGACCTAAGTTTGTGGCTCTGTGACAACACGTACAAAAGAAAGTCTTTGTACAGGAGATGCAATGGGCTATTCATGGCATATCACAGGCTTTTACGTATTGTGAACCGGCCTCGCGATATCTAATCCGCTGTCCTCGCATAGATATTAACATATCTTCGAGATCTGTCTGAATGAATGGCGTGACAACATTCAAGGAGTACGTTAACGGTTATGTGAAATATTAGAATGATTCCACCATAGAAGCCAAATCTTAAAGTTGTTTGATTCTTCGGTAGCATTTTCAATAAATGTTGTTCACGAAAGGTTCCTGAATACATTAATCGAGATTACGCTATCCGCATGGATGACCTATTCCTGCATAGATATATCTAGATCGGTGACGCTAAGCCGGTGACCCGTACCCAGATCCGGACATACCAGTGAAACAGGCACTCACTCACTCACTCACTCACAATGTATCAATCTATCAATCTATCAATCAAACAATCAATCAAAATGGAAATCGAGTGACGGATGCTTGACTCATTGTAAGTCTTTGTACGCCATTGTATCGTTGCTGGTGGTACCAGTTACCGGTTTGGGCTAGACGAAGCATTGACGAACCAAGAGTTTAATCAAACGTCTCCTTGAGGGAGACTGGTATCACACCTGTGATCCCTGGCGATAAGAAATATGACATTGCGTACCAGGCCAGCAGTTAGACGTATCAACGTGTCATCGTAATTTCTCCTCGGCGTAATATATATCTTGCAGGTGTACGTAAACAGGATGTGTTTGGTAACTTGAGCAGGAAGCACAAGTGCACGCGTACGAAGGGATGGTATTTCAGATGACAAATTAAAGAAGACAGAGAGATTGTGACCCAAATTTAGTGACTGTACGCAAACAGGATGTGTTTGGTAACTTGAGCAGGAAGCACAAGTGCACGAAGGGATGGTATTTCAGATGACAAATGAAAGAAGACAGAAAGATTGTGACCCAAATTTAGTGTCGCACACACGAATTTTTATTAAATGTATCCTCGAGAGTCAGTAAGAAACTAGAAATAACTGCCTTTGTTCTGTAAATCTCACCAAGTTTCAGCTTTCGCCCCTTTGTGGAATGAGGTTTCACATTTGTAAAATGATCTCTGTTATCTGTCTGTACCATCAACTTAACTGCCCTCACCCCCTGCAGTTTTCCCGTCCCATATTGCCAAGCGGGTGACCCACAAGGAGGAATACGGCCCTCCCTCAGTCCAGACTCATGAGTTATACTGTGCCTACTACAATAAGTTGTGAATACGTAGCCTTGCTGTGGCCAAACATTTTGTAACAATTTGGCAAACTTTGATATGTAAACAGCACATATAATTCAGTTTTATTTCATCTTAACATATCAGTTGAATCCCACTTGACCTTTGAAGATCCGGTTAAGAATAGATTTACAGCAACCCGGCCGCCCATGCTTGCCGTTATAGGCGACTATGCTTGTCGTAAGAGGCGACTAAAGGGTTCGGGTGGTCAGGCTCGCTGACTTAGTTGATGCATGGGATCATATCTCAACTGCGTGGATCGGTGGTCGTGATATCAATCAGTGGATTGTCTGGTCCAGACTCGATTATTTACAGACAACCGTCATATAACTGGAATATTGCTCCGTTTTTTCCGTTTTTGTTGTTCTTTGTGTAACACAAAGAACAACAAAAACGGAAAAAACGGATCCTACTTATTTTGTGGATACCATAACAATAAATCAAACCAACAGATCGTCTGAGCTAGCTAAATATAAAAAAAATAGTCGATAGTTATATTTCCCTCTGTTGGTCCCACGTAAAATGTTTTTTTCATGAATGCTGTAAATCATGAAATTAACGCAATAATAAGTCAGCACATTAATGCGAGTATAGAAGAACCCTGGCCTCAAATGCGTCATGACATTTATGAGAGTAGCGTTGCAAAAATCACTATAGTCA